CCCCCCATCTTTAGAAACCAACAGGGCTTCGCGCCATCGGCGCTCGCGAACTTATCCCCCCACCCCTATTCCAGAATCCCAGATCCGCCCCAGTCTATCTTGAAGATAACGTCACGTTGGGCCAAACTGTTCAACTGCAGAAAATTATGAGTATCTTTTGCAGCAAAGAGCATTAACAAAAAGCTTTTTAATACAAACATTCTTAACCATTGAACACTTTGGCGAAACACAACACTATCCTCAAATTTGTCTAATTAAAGATGCACTCAGAAATCATTTCTACAATTTTATAGTATAAAAATGTCAGCAAATATCAACGCTACCACCGGTCGGCCATTTTGAATACATCTGTATATCTGTGACATGATGTAAAATGAATATATCAAATTTGAACACAATCACTCAAAGCATGTCAGAGATATGGCTCTAGAAGCGCAGTCATTAAAACAAAATGGCCACCAGTCAGCCATTTTGAATCTGATCTGAAAAACAAAATGACGTGCATAAGGGACCAATAATGTATGTACCAAGTTTGAACAAAATCCATCCATAGACGACCAAGATCCTATTTTGAAATACTGGAAATGCTTGATTTTTTAGCACAAAAATGGCCTCTATTCGACCATTTTGAATCCGATTATCATACCAATACATTTGTATATCTATAATATGATGTATAATGAATACATAAAATTCGAAAATAATAAGTCATAGCATGTCAGAGATAAAGCACTAGAACTGCATTCATAAAAACAAAATGATCTCAAATCAGATCATGAAACAAATTGATATGCATATGTATAACATTATGTATGATGTACATGTGAAGTTTGAAAGTAATCGGTTCAGGCATGTCTAAGATACATGTCCGGACGGACGGACGGATGGACGGACACACAGACACACACAAATAAAGACATATGCAGAAGTCAATCTACAAGTCCTCGTTTTCGAACTGAACGAGGACTCATAATGACTTACCCTTCATAGTAGGAATGATGGTTACTATTATCATCACCATAGTAATTATGTTTATGTTGTTGTTGATTTCCTTCCTTGGTTAGATCTAAAGTGTACTCCAACTGAAATACAATACAATAATATAATTTTGAAGCACACAAACATATATCTGAGGATGTAAACACATGGTATGATGTCATCTGTGGTTCTGTTGTACCAGCGTCATATTTAGAAAACTGGGATATTAAACTGGACGTGAACCTTTTATGCTGGAGGTCACAACTAATGTTGAAGAATGATAAAAACTGTACAGCCATTACATTCAAATGAACTACTGAAGATAACTGGTCAGGGAAAAAATATCATGACAATTTCTATTCAGATGCTAGAGAACATTCTAATAATTACTCTATAGAGATGTTTTGACAAAATGTTTCTTCTTTAATTAGTTCCACTTACTTTAATTTAATTCCACTTTTCACTGTTTCCCAGAACTTAGCAGTTCTCATGAAACATATACATGTATATGTAATATTTTACTGCTTCACAAACAATTAAAGAATGAAATATTTTTGAAAACAAAACTACCGGTACTACTAATACTACTAATAAAGAAAAAATATTGAGTCAAACATTCTGTAGAGTGTTTATTAGGATGTAGCCTAGCATAGGAAGTAATCTACTCATATGAAATTTTCCAATTTCATGTAGTTGGTTTGAAATGTACTCACTGCTAGTTTTACCATTCTATACGATTGGAGCTATTGCATTAACTTTCAAGTCAATGTAATTTAATCAAAATTTGAACCTGGAGGCTTGGAATCACGGCTATGTATACTACCGGTACACTGTACACACAATGTAGGAACTAATATTAAAATGGTCTTCAATGTGATAAACCAAATGAAAATATTAGATATACTACAATACTTACACCACATGAGCCTTTTAATATATATGGATCATCTGGATATTCATACCCTTCACAGCTGACTTGTACTTGACCAAATCTATATGCGTTATCCATATCTGTCTTGCACTCCCACTGTATTAAAATCACATGTACAGTTAGATAATATAAGTTAATTTATCCAATACTGTAAAAGGATTAATTATTCACTGGGTTTTAATTTTGTTTATTTCGCTGACTGGAAAATGCGCTAAATTAAAACCCAGTGAATATGTAAAATTTAGCATAGAACACATTATCAAAATGATGAAACCATGAATTTAAAACTCACTGAATATGCCTGAAATGGTAAATCAGTGAATTTAAACCCAGTGAAAATTAATCTTTTTACAGTATACAGTGAATTTCATGAAGGCATGAATGATATTACATAAAATATTTGTAAATGACAATCAAAATGTGTTTACAAAAGAACAATAGTAAATCAGCCAATGATTGTGAAGACATGGGTAAAGTTCCTTATAGTAGCCAATGGAAGCAGAGTCTTTGGAAGCGTCAGGGGCATCAAGGATACATGTTTTATAAATAGTTTGTAAAATTCAATAAAAAACATTAAAGCGAGGAGGTTGTCACCTGCGCATAGGCGGGAACTGAGTCCCAATCGACGATAATAACACACGTTAAAAACGCAAAGGCTCATGGGTAGACGCTTGTTTAACAATGACACAATGACACGCTATGGCCATCTGACGCATGCGCAGGTGACGACCCCCCCCCACTTTAATGTCTTCATGAAATGTACTGTACACACTCGAGATGAACTAATAGAAAATTTCAATATTAAATAAATTGACGTGTAACAGTGCATAAGAATTGAATTTTACCGCGAGTTATACTATGTAAATTTATCCCTATACTAAGTCATTATTTTCACAAAAAAGGCAGAGCACTGATATATGTTATAGAATATATGAAATATGCAAAACCAATTCACAAATTGTAATTACAATTTGAACCATTGTTAAATTAGATAATACAGCCACGCGCTACAAATAGCAAAATGCTTTTTATTCTAAACAAAAAATAGAGCAAAATTTTCCTAAATTCAAAAGTTTAATTAAGAGCAAACAAACGTTTGTGGAAAATACAAAAACATTGGTGTTTATTTGTGTTTATTTTCTTAATTACCATCATATACAATAGGCATGTTTGTTTGTTTGTTTTCTATAAATCATGATTTCAGACAAGTTCTTACATGCATCAATACAGTCTAGTCTGATTGGAGTGGACCAGCATCAAACCAATAAGATATCCTCTACATGGATTAATTTAATATACCGATACTGGTAATATTCACAAACTATAAATACATTTCATGATTTGGAAATTTTGCTAAAACAAATAACATGAGCATATTGAAGACAGACATATGTTTAATTACCTGCACATCATAGCCATCTGATCCTTGGTTGTAACACTGTACAACTTGTGGTGTAAATGTACCGCAGCCAGCATTGCCACCAATGCATTTCAGCTATAAAAGACAAACATATCAAATGGAAAATTAATGTTATTTTAATCAATATTATCATACAATACACTCTACGTGCATGTTATTAAAATTTAGCTAGCTTGGAAACACCAGTTGGAAGCCAGCTTGAGAATTAAATTACATTCAGACTGTACTGGATTGTAATTTGGTGCATCAAACATTAAAGTGGTAAACAATGTGTGTAGAATACGGCATTTTAAAATTCTAAAAAAAATTAATAACCGACAACAAAATTAAAAATTATATTAAGCTTGAAAAATTCATGAAAATTTGTTGTTTACAATATATTGTTATGCACTGAAGTTGAAAGATTACATGTATGAGCATTACACACTCATATAGAGAGACAGTGCAAAGACCAACTTAACATATGACATACGATACATACCTGTGGTATTGGGCTGGATCTCCCAGCATTAGTCATTCTACCGGAGTATAAAGTCAGTACTTTAACATCTTCAAGTAGAACTCTGTCACCTGAACCCCCTATGAAATAAATCATAACATTTTGATACAAAGTAGCACAACACATACAATTCATATTTACAAACTAACCTGGCAGTGCATGTTGGGAATTTTTACACTTTATTATAAATCATTTTCATGATAATTACATGTAAATCTATTTTTCCTAGCAAGATGGAATCTAATAACTATCTAAATGTGATAATATTGTGCGTAAGGTACTCCTTAAATGTTTGTTTTGATTGAATATCCATACTATTAAGGTATCATTTGACAGGGGTAAAACTAGTATACAACACTCCAGAAAGAATGTGGGGGGCCAGACACCTCACAAAACCACCTTTTGAATTCTTGACCCATGAAATTGGCCATCAGGTTACGAAAACAAAACATTGGAAAGAAATATGAACTACCGGTACTGTTTTCACTTATATCTACACTTTCAGATCATGCATAGGTAGACTATGCTTAATAATATTTAGAGAATTTTTAATTCATTTTTATCCTGTTGCTACCTTACTAACATCTACAAATTGAAAACACTTATTCAAACTGAATCAGAAAATGTACATTGTTTCATATTAATAATAAATATGTAAATGTATGATACGGGACTGTGATGATGAAATCAGGTAGACATGTTGCCCTATCCGTAACCCAAACAGTGAATCTATTGTGTTTAAGTTTCTCATGCTATATAGCTATTATATGGAGGAAAGTCAAGTCATTCAGGATACCTAGCACACATTTGTCCTAACATATTCACCCTCATGCACATTCATCAACAGTCCCGAGATCAGATCATGGAGGTAAAATCCATGATCAGATAGAGGGACTGTGATTCATGTGATCTGGAATGAATGTGCTTTATAAAAGAAATTATTTTGGACAGAATTTCAATCAGTAAAGCCAAAGTCAAACTTTATACAATACGTCTACAAATGTAAATGGTGTAAACCACAGTCCCTCAAGTGTTGAGGGACTGTGTGTAAACCTATTACACTTGCAGAGTTACGTCATCATTATAATTCAACATTTTTACCGTTTATACTAAAAAATGAAAATTGTGCAACATTCTTTACATTTTAAAATGTATATTCACAATTCAATATACTTACATGCATTGACAGAAGACAGCAACGTTATCCCCGAAAATACTAGTATTGCCAAGATCCCCATAACCGTCAGCAGTACTTGTTGCGTTAAAGACGAAGACAACAAAACTGTTGAGCTTAATAAAAATTAAAAAATGGTAAAGTCAATTTTAGTAATTTTCACCAGCAGTGCCTATTTTTTTTTAAATACCAAATACTCGCTCGCTTTGTGGGATTTTCGAACGGTCGGCCAAAAAAAGTATAAAGCACGCAGCCACTGATAGTTCAATGAATGATGAAGTGCAGAATCCAGGAAGTGTATCGTACATCAAAATAAAAGCCTGACAACACCTCTGAATCATCAGCCAATCCGAGGCAAACTGGTCAAAAGAGTGCGGTACTTAAATTGAATTAGCTCACATAAATTGCAAATTAAACCATACGTTTTGGTTGATTATTTGCATAATATTCTCCAACGTGTCTCAAGTTTGTTTTGTCTTACAAATATTTTTTGTAAATCAAACACAAACCATAGTGCGGATTGATATTAAGCTGAATCAGCTTAAAATGCATTATGGGAGCTGTCTGTTCGTCAGTTGACCTTTGTCCCAGGTCAACCCGGTCGACATTTTCTCTCGTCGGTTCTGTGATATATAAGTTTTGTTGTCCTTACATTATTGCAGCCATGAGTTACTTTAAAGAACCTGACGGTAAAGATTGCCTCGGGAAGACTGCATTTACGACAAAAGTCGCAACGGCGGGAGGTTAGTCGAAATGTTCTTAAGTAACAGTGTCGGATGATTGTCGGCGATGTCTGACCCGATTCGGTCACGTAGCTCCAGATTAGATTGCTTAAATAAATACATGATTATAGTACACCGGAGAAAGTTACAAATTAGACGTTGCAAATTAAATGACATCAAAATTGTTGATGATGTCTTTGTGCAAAAATAATTATTGCATATATCCATTTGCAGACCCTTATCCATGAATGTTACTCTTCAACAGTACCACCATATTTTATAGACCGTCTTCAGTTCGTATATTCAAGCAGCTCCCAGCAATCCAGCTCTCAGTTAAACTTCGAAGAGCTGGATATTACTATTATCTAGAAATTTGAATGTGCCTAAAATAATGGTTTTGATAAATATATTTGACAGGTGGCTGGCTAATACACTGATGTGGATTATATGCATTGTCAAGATGGCCAGATTTTTGAACCGTTTTGTTTGGGGCTTAAATTCATCTCAAAATTATTTGTATCATCTGCTATAGAAAACACAAGAATAAGTAGAAGTGTGAATTCCTAGTTTCTAATTGCCTGTATCATGTTATTATCAAAACG